GCCGTTACGCCGGAGAGCCGAAGCCTTTCGGGACGCCGTGCTCCGCGGTGACGTCACGGCGTCACCGTCACACCCTCGCAACGTGCGAGCCGCTCCCCAGGGTGTGGAGGATCCCGAGGGCGCGGCTGGGCGGGGTTCGCGGATCGCAGCCAACTAGGATAAAAGGTCTTGCGGCTCTGCCGTGGGACCGGAAGCTCGGCCCGTGATGACATTTTTTTTTTTCTCAGGCGGAAGTTCTCTGCGCCGCCTCCAGGATCCGGGCGGGAGCGGGTTGTGTCTTTTCTGGGCTGCGTGTCCCAAGAGCCAATGAGTACCTGCCTCGGGGGCCTGGACGGTCACGCGCCTTGGGGTCACTTCGAGGGCCCTGCCTTTTGTCACCCTCACAGCTCTGTCTTCTCGGATCGCTTTCTGGTAAAATGGGAGCGGGGTGGGGTGGGGACATGAAAGCGTGACCCTGACGGAGTGCATGGATGCAGACCCCGCCGAGCTCTCCTCTGCTTAGGACACCTCACAAGAGTGGCGTCTGGGCCGGCCCTTGCAGGACTCAGGAAAGCAAACGACAGTGCTCCAGTCCCAACCAAGCTGCCAGGTCTGGCTGTAGAATTTGTTCCGGGCGCTACGGACGGCACATTTGTACTGCATGTGATGACCCGTTCTTACTGCAAGGAGGAGAGTGAGAGTAACATGAAGAGGAAGTGGACGGGGTTAGGTTTGTAACTCTAGAAAGATCAGCCGGGTGGTGGTGGCACACGCCTGTAGTTCGAGGCCAGCCTGGTCTACAAGCTACACAGAGAAACCCTGTCTCTAAAAATCAAACCGAAAAAGATCAGTAAACCAAAAATTGTCTGGAACTGTTGGTCTGTGTCAATCACGGACAGACTCCACATTTTTCTTTCATTACCTTAACATTATATTTCATTCAGGACTGCCTCCTCTCTTTTTCCCTTTCCCCCAAGAAAAGGAACTACCAGTCTCGTGGTGAGATTTCAAGAAGCTGGGTCTAAATTATCGTTAGATGTCATCACTGTATATTCATTAATTTGTTCTTGTTTGCCTCTTCATACATGTGCCTCAGTGGATCTGTAGAGCCAGAGCCTGCTCTATAGATCTCATGATTTTATTTCTGCTGTCCATGACTTTCTCTCTGTGGCCTGATAAGGTTACAGTACCGTGGTTTTAATGAACAAGGAACTGAGGATTTGAGGCCACAAGTCAGCCTCTAGAGTCTCTTCCATGTGAGTACTGACTTAACGAGAGTACACTTAGTTTTGTCTGGTTTTTGGTGGAGTATGCAGTTTTTGTAGTGTAGACAGCTTAAGTAAATTAATAGATAAGCAATTATGTTATAAAGGACCATACAGGAGAGGTGTACTGTGATAGCAAATAGTGAGCCAAGCTATATAAAATGTGCTTTAAATAAGGTAGTTTTTGCCAGGCGTTGGTGGCAATCGCCTTTAATCCCAGCACTAGGGAGACAGAGGCAGGCGGATCTCTGTGAGTTCGAGACCAGCCTGGTCTACAAGAGCTAGTTCCAGGACAGCCTCCAAAGCCACAGAGAAACCCTGTTTTGAAAAACCAAAATAAAAAAAAAAAAGGTAGTTTAAGTCTTTTTTTAAACTAGTAATGGTTCTGGGACCCTGACCCTTCTATCACCAGTTCCCCACATCCCACCCTAGTTTCTTGAGAATACGGCATAATTTCCTTTGGAGGAGAATCTTGTTTTTCCCACATTCTCAAAGCCATCCCCATGTTACTTTAGATCCCTCCCTCCCAAATCAGGCTCTGAGATGAAATATGAGTGCAAAGTTTTTTAAGGGGGTGACCTCAGTGGGCACTCTAAAGAATGGAAGCCTTTCTGGGAGGTGGTGGCGCACGCCTTTAATCCCAGCACTTGGAAAGCAGAGACAGCCTATCTCTGAGTTTGAGGCCAGTCTGGTTCCAGGACATCCAGGGCTGCTCAGAGAAACTCTGTCTTGAAAACACATCTCAGAGTTGTTCTATTAAGAGACCAGAGACAAGGAAGAGAAGGGGCTAAGAGTGTGGCTCATTGGTAGACTTCTCGTTAGCCTGGCTTTCATGAAGGCCCATCCTGAGGCACATACAGGAGGAGAGAAAAAGAAAAGATAGATATTAACCAGGAATGTCTTAGTCCTTACAGTGTTAGCTCCCCTGCATGCTTCCCCACCTCAGTGCCTGGGAAGGGAGAGAACACACAGACAAGTCACAGATGTGTTTCATGTACCAAGACTCAAGGCAAATTGGGCAACAGACCCAAAGAATGTTACCAACGTTACAAAGCCTCTAGCACCATGTATCACTGGACTGAGAAACTGGTTGTGAAAGCGTGTTCATGCCCTTGCTCACTTAAGCAGCCTCCTGGCTTGAGTTTTGCCATTAGCACCTTTAGAATAGAGAGAAAAAGACAGATTTCAAGACCAGTGCTGTCTTGGGTAACCATGAGCAGGTAATTATGTAGTTATAGTAATTCAAGTTTTATAGACTTTTTAAATAAAAGAAACTGCTTTTGAAGTCTAGAAATTAGTGGGCACCCCCTGTGAGGAACCTGATTTTTTTTTTCTTCTTCCTTGGCAATACAAGAGAGATGGAACCTACAACTTCACACATCCTAAGCAAGGGCTGAACCACTGAGCTACAGCCCTGTTATGGGATATTCCTTTATGCTGTGTGAAGAAGACTGTGATTGGTTTGATAAAGAACTAAACTGCCCATAGCTAGCTAAGAAGGAATTGTAGGCAGGACTGCCAGACAGAGCTCTGGGAAGAAGAAAGGGGAAGTCACCAACTAGACACAGAGCAAGATGGGTAGTGCAAAGTAAAGGTAACCAAGCCACGTAAAAACACAGATTTAAAAATATGGGTTAATTTGCCACGCGGTGGTGGTGCACGCCTTTAATCTCAGCACTCGGGAGTCAGAGGCAGGTGGATCTCTGTGACTTAGAAGCCAGCCTGATCTACAGAACGAGTTCCAGGACACCCAGGATTGGTATATAGAGAAACCTTGTTATAAGAACTAGTTAGAGGACTGGAGAGATGGCTCAGCAGTTAAGAGCACTAGCTACTCTTGCAGAGGACCTGAGTTCAATTCCTAGCAACCACATGGTGGATCACAACCATCTATAGTGGGATATTGCCCTCTTCTGGCATGAAGTTGTACATGCAGACAGAACACTTTTATACATAAAAAAAAAAAAAAATTAATAAGAACTAGTTAGGAACAAACCTAAGCTAAGACCAAGCTTTCATAATAATAAGCCTCCATGTCATGGTTTGTCTGCTGATGGTCCAAAAAAGCTTGCTACACAGCCCAACCCCTCTGAAAGATTTTTTTTTTTCAAGACAGGGTTTCTCTATGTAGCTTTAGAACCTGTCCTGGAACCTGCTCTGTAAACCATGCTCTCCTAGAACTCACAGAGATCCACCTGTCTATTCCTCCTGAGTGCTCGGATTAAAGGCATGAGCCACCACTGCCCAGCCCTTAATATATCTTAAGAGCACAATTTTATGTTTTTGTCATGAGCTGTTTTTGTCAGTTTCCTATCAGGACCAGGGCCAATTATAGACTACTGGAATCTGTCCCTCCCATGGAGTCCTTACGACATGTCACATGAAATGTAATGCCATCCCCTCTTACAAGAAGGGACAGTAACCATGATGTAGGTCTGAGGCTCTGAAACAACCCAAGTAGACTCAAAGGTCACACAAAACAAGATTTATTACTGACCATCACAGCAGAAACTGAATCCCGAGCTGACCCCCCCCAGATGTTCACTTCATCGAGTATTTAAGCCCAAACCCACAAATATCTGTGCCAAGTTACAGTTACATTTTCCCACCAATCAGAAAGCAAAGATTAGGGGCTTTCCTTTGTGTTCCATCATGGTCAACCCACAGACAATGCAAGCTTTTCAGTCCATCCTAATAGATTGATTTGTTCTTCTGTTACTAGGAACAGCCTTAATGTTTTAGAGAACTAAGGATTCGTAATGAACTGTTTCAGTTGTTTAAGGAGGAGGTTGGTCAGCTGTTGGAAAGTCCCCAGGTCTCTGAGGGCCTGGGGACTTGAACTTTGTTTCACCCAACAGGTAAAATAGGGCATGAAATCAAAATGGCAGTACTTAGGGCAAGGCACGTTTGCCTGCTCCCAGCAGCCACACCACACATAGGCATGCTTTCTGCTTTGTGTTTGGCATGACACCCTGCAGAGCACATGTGAGATCAGAGTTTTGTGTAACTGTGTCAGCTGTGATTGCAGAGGATGTACTTAAGCTAGGAAACGAGCCCAGTGAGAAACTGCCATCTGCTCGAGTCCAGATCATGCATGCCCACGGTGACAGACACTTAGGGCATACAAGGCAGATGTGAAGGTGATTATAGGAGAGAAATAGTCCATGTCCAAAGTGGAGTGTGAGTATCAATCAGTCTTGGCCCTGAGCCAGGGAGGACTGTCAGGTTCTTGGGACTTGCACCACGTCATCTTAATGAGCTCATAATTGAGCTCAAAGTGAGTGGCAGGTTACTAGGTGCTGTCAACATGTCAAACAGTATCTGTTACAGATTTACTAAGCCTCAAAGCCTACTTAGTCTATTCCTCCTTTGGTGCCATTCCCACTTTCAGAAACACATCTCACTTTTCCTTGACCTATATTCATTCTGCTCAAAAACAAATATAAAAACGTACTTTACAACTGGGCATGCTGACAGATTCTTGCAATCCGAGAACTTGGGAAATAGAGGCAAGAGTGCAAGGCTATGTAAGTCAATTCATGCGCAACCTGGGCTACATGAGACCATCTCAATAGATAGATAATAAAACAAACCTCATGGCAATGTTAATTGTAGCATCATTCCCATAGCCTCTGCTTCTGTTCCTGCCTCTAGATTCCTGTCTTGAGTTCCTGCCTTGGACTCTGTAAGCCAAACAAACCATATTCTCCCCAAGTTGCTTTCTGTCTATTTTTTAATCATAACAATATATATATATATATATATATATATATATATATATATATACAAGTTCCTAAACAGCCTGGGATGCATGAGACACTGGCTTTAAATATATATGTACAAGTGTGTGACTAAAATAGATAAAATTTCACCTTCCTCCAGTTAACACAGCTGTAAATGAGAGACTACTAAATGCTGCCCAAAAGGAAGGACAACAGAAACTCTCATCCTCAGCAAATTGAAGTGTGAGCTGATGGAAGATCTTTTGGGAAAACAGTTTGATATGACCTGGCAAAGCAAAAACCATGCTTCTGCTATAACCCCAAAACTCCACTGTATGGTGTACAGCCAAGATAAACTCCTATGCATTTATTCTAAGCAACATGTCATGTCACAGCATTTTAAAGAATGGGGAAGTAAAGGAAACCACACAAGGAAAATGTGAAAATACTCAGTAGGTATTGTGTAGCAGCAGAAATACACAGCCACCATATGAAAGCAGCTTAAAGGACTCTCCATCAAGGCAGAAACAAAGCAGAGTCGAGGTGACATTCAGTAGTGGAATGAGACCACTTACAACCCCAGCATCACAAAAATAAGCAAGCAAGCAGGCATGGTGGTAAGCCCTCTTCTCCCTGCACTAGGGAGGCAGAGGCAGGACAATCAGAAGTGCAAAGTCCTTGGTTACATAGCAAGTTCAAGGCTAAGACTCTGTCTTAAACAAAATGCAACCAGGCATAGTGAGTGGCTCATACCTTCAGTCCCAGCCCTCAGGAGGCAGAGGCAGGTGGATCTCTTCAAAACCAGTCTGCTTTACAGAGCAAGTCCCAGGACAGCCAGAGCTGCACAGGGAAACCCTGTCTCAAAAAGCGAAGGTCCCTGAGATTGTGGGATAATTCCTTCTGGTCCTTTCCCAGCTCTTTCTCCTCTCAGAGGCCTCTCATTTTCTCATCCCTCTGAAGGGGAATTATGAGGGGATTATTCCTAGACTCTTTGGACTCATTTCAGGGCTCAACTCCCATGACTTTATGTCATAAAAACATTGTCCTTGAAATCACCCTAATTCTTCCAAATTATTCCTTACCAGAACTCATCCATTTCCTTCCTACAACCTACCAAAACCTATTTTTTCTTCCTTTTCTTTTTAAAGATGTAGGTATTTTATATGAATGAGTACCTTGAAGCTAACATATGAGCATGTGCACCATGTGCATGCCTGATGCCCATGGAGGCCGTAGGAGGACGTCAGACCCCCGGAACTGGAGTTATGGATGGTTGGGCCGCCTTGTGGGTGCTGGAAATCAAACCTGGGTCCTCCACAAGAACAAAAAGTGCTCTAAACCACTGAGCCATGTCTCCAGCTCTTTTCTTTCATTGCTTCTGACTACTTAATGTCTACCTCTTTGACCAGAGAGAAATCTGTTCTGTGATGCCACCGTAGTACCTTTCCCTGGCATTATGACGTCTTTGTAAATGGACTTACCAGCAAACACTAGCACATCCGAGGATGAAGCCAACTGATGTCTCCAGGTAGCATCATCCATTTTAACTCTCATGATGACAAATGTTCCACAAGAAATGCCATTGCATGAGCATTTCTGTGGGACAATCCATCTACAGACCTCTTCCCCTTGCCCTCCTTGTCATCAGTCTTTAATCTGTCCTTTCCAAATTCCTGATCAGCTGACATACCATTTGTCACTACCCAGATCCAGACCTCCAACAGACCCGTAGCAGTGCTGTCCATGGGAGTCACCCCTGCACCATTGGCTTCTGAAAGCATTCCATAGTAGACTGGATACAACAGCTGTCACTTTGGGGTACTAGACGATTGAATGAAACCTGGAATGAATGAAACCTGTGCTTTCTTTTCCTCTATTAATGGATGAAGTGTGTTCCTTTCAAGGCATAGGTGGAGACACAGGCAGTGGGATTGTGGGTTACAAGAGTTTATGTCTCTGAATAAACTCAGCATATAACACATCCATTGCACAAGAGAAGCTTGAGGTACCAGTCCAACTTGATGGATCAGTGTACCTGGTAACACCCAGGACTGGGGCTCAGATTGGCTGACTTTCACCTCACCCGGACCTGTAGTGACCTTTTGTTTCTTTGATGACACAGCTTGATGTGGAGTGCCAGGTTGTTGCTTCCCAACAGAACATATGTGATCAATTCAATTCCGGAATCTCATGTTAAGGTCATTCCCAATACCAATTGCTGAGTTAGGTACCAAGTGGAATAAATGACACCATCTGTTGTGAAATATTACTTTATACAAAGATGTGTTACATTTGTTTATGCTGTGGGCTCTAACCATGTAAAGATATGTTACATTTGTTTATGCTGTGGGCTCTAACCATGTAAAGATATGTTACATTTGTTTATGCTGTGGGCTCTAACCATGTAAAGATATGTTACATTTGTTTATGCTGTGGGCTCTAACCATGTAAAGATATGTTACATTTGTTTATGCTGTATTTGTTTAACAATGTAAAGATGTGTTACATTTGTTTCACCTTGCCTGCCTAAGGCACCTGATTGGTCTGATAAAAAGCTGAGTGGCCAATGGCTAGGCAGTAGAGGGATAGGCAGAGCTGGTGGGCAGAGAGAGTAAGTATGAGGAGAAGAGAACTGAGAAAGAGAGGGACACACCCAGGGCCAGAAGCCAGGCAGCCACCTGCCAAACATGCAGAAGCAGTGAAAGTAAGATATACACAAAGAAAGAAAGGTAAAATGCCCCAGGCAATATGTAGATGGAGAGAAACAAGTTATAAGAGCTAGCAAGAAATGAGCCTAACCTAAAGCTGAACATTCATAACTAATAAGTCTCCGTGTCATGCTCTGGGAGCTGGTTGGTGGACTAGAAGAAAAAGCCTGGTGCAGCCATTCAAAGTGGACGACTTGAAAATAGTTTGGCAGGGGAGAGGTTTGCTGAGGCATAAGCAGAATGAAGAGAAGACCAAGGGACTAGTGTAGTCCCTCCAGGCTGGCCCCTCTGGAGGAACCCCAAACCATCATGGGATGAGAACCATCGGAAGTTAGAGGGGCAGGTGCAGGAAAGGCTGCCCGAAGGCAAAGACCAGTCACCAGTAGCCCCTAGAGTGGAGAGCCCTGGGTTGTGTAAACACCCCTGCATTCTCCTCTTACTTTGACTGTTGGTACTGGCCCTCAGCAGACCAGAGAACCAGGGAAGCTGCCTGAAGCAGTCCTCCAAGCCTGGTGGAGGGCAAGGGGACAGATACAGAGAAGATGTGAGATGGTTTGCACATAGTCCACATGGGTTTAAACAAGCAGACCATCTGAAGACTCTAGCAGCAGGGCTCCCACGTGCTGCCATCAGCTGGCCTCCATTTTACAGGTCCATGTTCCAACGGGACCCCAGAACTCGGCCTTTTCCACTCAGCACACCAGATTCTCCCAAAGGCCTCCGTGACTCTGGTTAGGGCATATGACTTGGCTGAGTCATGAGTCATGTACTCAGAAGGCAGGAGCTAACATTGAGGGAAATCATAGCACGCAGCCTGAAGAAGAAAGGGTGTAGGCTCTGGTGTATGGGTCAGAGCTTCTCAACCTTGGATCACTGAGAAGCCTACTGCAATGCTTTTTTTTTTTTTTTTCTCAGTGCTGTGATAAAAATCCCTGATAACAGCAACTTGGAAAAGGAAACCCCCTCTCTATTCAGCCCCATTCTGATGTCGGAGAATGAACATAGGACCTCACGCATGCTGGCCAGTCAAGCACTCTGCCCTGAGCTACATCACCTGCAGGAAGGGTTGATTTTGGCTCATTCCTTGAGGGACAGTCTTTTAGGGTGGGGAAGTAGTTGCTAATATACTACAGGCAGGAAGCAGAGACACATGAAATCATTGGCTTTCTATTTTCTAAAGTAACTTTTAAATGTGTGTGGGTATGTGGGGGGGCATGATATTTCTGTGCACCACATGTGTGTCTGGTACCCACAAAGGCCAGATACGAGTACTGGATCCCCCTGGAACTGGAATTGCTGATGGGTACTGTTGAACCAGCCCGCTGCAGTCTGGCCAGATTGGTGAGCTCCAGGTTTAGTGAGAATAAGGTGGCATTCTACTGAAGAAGACACCTGACATTGAACCCTGACCTCCACATGCACATGTCCCTGTGCACAAATGTGTACACACGTGAACACACATGAACCACAAACTATCTTACTCACCTTTCTATTGCTGTGAAGCAACATCCTGACCAAAGCAACTTAGAGGAGGAAGAGTTTGTTGGGGACTTGCTTACAGTTTCACAGGGTGAGTCCATGGCCATCATGGCAGTGAGCATGGCAACGTACAGACAGACATGGGGCTGGAGCAGTAGCTGAGATACTGCAGCCTTATCTGCAAGCATGGGGCAGGTATCTGCAAGCATGAGGCAGAGAGAGAGCTAACTGGGAATGGCATGGAACTTTGAAACCTCAAAGTCTGCCCCCAGTGACACACAGCCTCCAACAAGGCCCCGCCCCCTAATCCTTCCCAAACAGCTCCACCAACCAGGGACCAAGCATTCAAATATATGAGCCTGTGGGGGTCATTCTCATCCAAACCATCACACACACATACATACACACACTAAAATAAATCAAAAGTTCTGCAACCTCTCGGGTCCCACTCCAGAACTAGAACCCACCCGGCACCTGCTCTTCAGCAGGTGTGATGGTTAATCTTGAGTGGCACCTAGGCGGGACTTAGACTCACCTAGAAGAAAACCGTCTGGGTATGTCTGTGAGGGCATTTCCAGAGAAATTTTAACAGAGGTTGGAAGACCTACCCTGAGTATGGGCCGCACCATTCCATAGTTTTGGGTTCTCCACTGAATACAAAGAGGGAATCAGGCTGGAGAGAAGCTCAGCAGCTGAGAGCACTGGCTGCACTTCCAGAGGACTCAATTTCCAGCAACCACAGGGTGCTTCCACATCCAGTTCCAGGGGATGCCATGACCTCTTCTCACTTCCATGAGAAATGCATGTAATATGGTGCACAGACATACATGCAGGTCACATGCACACACACCCCAAAAGTTTCTGTGGGGAAAGAGAACCCATATTTACTGCTAGTGAGCTTGTAACCTGGTGCAGCCTCTGTGGAAATACATATGGAGAGTCTTGAAAACAAACACCTAGAAACAGAGCTACCAGATGACCCAGTTCCACCACTCTGGGATATACCTGTAGGTACTGGGATTCTGGGCTGGGAAGTTGGCGTTGCTCTTGGAGAGGACCCAAGTTCAGTTCCCAGCACCCACGCGGTGTGTCACAACTGTTTAAACTCCAGTTCCAAGGGTTTCAACATTCCCTTCTGGCTTCTGTGGGCATCAGGCATGCATGTGGTTCACAGCATACATGCAGACAAAACATTTATATACATAAAATAAAAATCTGAAAAATAAAGTAAAAAAGCACTGGAGTTCTGATGAATTCTCTCTCCAGTGCTTCCCCCTCTCAAAGAGGGGCCTTGTATCTAACAGGGGAGGTGACATTGGTGCACACCATCATGAATCATGGCCTTAAGTCGCAGGTTCCAGAGAAGGTCATTCGTGTGGCAACCGAGCCCTTGAAATGTGGCTGCTCAACACTGAGATGCACTGTAATGTAGACTACACTAGAGTGAGCGCAGTGGGGTTCGGTCCTAAGAAAGAGGAAGTATGGAGAGCACAGCGTCGTCACTCCTTGCCAGCTCACGGCCCCTTCCTTTCTCATCTTCCTTCAAGCAAATTCCTGAAGCAGACATTGCAACCCTGCTTTTCCACTTGCCTAATCCACCCCACAGGTAGTCACTACCCTGCTCCTCCCAATATACTTGATGCCAGCACTCCTGCCTTCCCAGAACTAAGCCAGGGCCCCGCCGCTGTCTTGAGACCCATGGCCCCAGTCATCTCTGCTGACCATTCTCCATCCTACAGGTGCCTCTCACTTGAATCATCCACTTAGATCTGTCCCTCACTGCTTCTCCCATCTTCAGGTTTGCTCTGTCCCCTCTGCCACCTATGAGAGCCCTGTCTTCAGGATATGTGAGATATGTGGGTTACATTGCCTTTGGTCTAGCCAGCATACCTGCTGCCAAGAGCTCTACCATCTGATTCCTTCGTAGTTCCGACTTTCCTGCATTTGCATCTTGATTCTTCTACTGGGGTCTAATTTCCTTTAGAACAAAGAGTGACCAGCTTTTTATGCTCTGCCTTGGCCTGGTCCTACACAACAAGCCGATCCTCAAAAAACAAAAATCAAGTTTCTGGAAGCTGGACATTGATGGGGAATGTACTTCTGTGTATGTTTATCTTATTGATTGTTGAATAAAGTAGTGTTTGGCCAATGAGGCAGCAATTTAGACGGGACTAGGAGTCAAAGAGGATTCTGGGAAATGTAGTAGAGAAGTGGTAATCCAGGCAGGAAGTGACATAGCAAGGAGACTCATATTTAAGCAAGGACAAGCAGGAAGTGGTCCCTTTTCCCCTCCACTCCTCCTCCAGTTCGGGATGTGATCCACCGGCAAGGGAGGACGCCAATAAGGTGTCTGATAAGTCTTATATATAGATTTATGATCATTAAGACTGAGATAGAAGATGAGAAATCCTAGCCATTGGCCAAACAGCATTTGTACCTAATATAAGTTTCTATTATTTTGTCTATCCACGTGGTGGGCAGAACTCAGGTGGCTGGCGGAGACCACCCACGTGGTGGTAGGGCTTGGGCGGCTTTTGGCAGAAAGATTTATCGTATTCTATTATTTTGTCTATCCACGTGGTGGGCAGAACTCAGGTGGCTGGCGGAGACCACCCACGTGGTGGTAGGGCTTGGGCGGCTTTTGGCAGAAAGATTTATCGTAACAGGGCATGGTGGCACACGCCTTTAATCCCAGCACTTGGGAAGCAGGGGCAGGTGGATCTCAGAGAGTTGGAGGCCAGCCTGGTCTACAGAGCTAGTTCCAGGAGAGACAGGGATACACAGCCTGTTACATAGAGAAACCTTGTCTTGAAAAAAACCATTAAAAAAATAAAAATAAAAACCAAATTAAAAAAAAAATGACACACACATTTAAGCACTTGGGAGGCAGCAGCAGGCAGATCTCTGTGAGTTTGAAGCCAGTCTGCTCTACATAGCAAGTTCATGACAGCCAGGGCTACACAGAGAGAATTACACATTTCAATATCTTCCAAAATACTGTTCCCTGATTACTAAAAAAGAAAGCAAAAAATTAATTTTTAAACATTTTTTGACAGTCTCATTATGTTTCCTAAACTGTGGGGCTCAGAAGTTGGAGAGGTAAGCAGAGTTCTTACACTCTTCACAAGGTCTCCCCAGTGCACCATAGGATGTAACCCAGTGCACCATGGGATATAGCAGTAGGGCGCTCTGAAGACCTCAAAGGTAACATCAGTATTGTGTGTGTAGCCCTTAGCCATCCAATCACACACGGATGTGTGTGACACCACAGTCAAGGTCTAGACAGCGGTCTGAGAATACAGAAAGTCTGCTTAACATGGACCATGGGTCCTGTCCCTGGCATTCTATACAACCAGTAGGGCCAAGACCTGGAACCTGACACAACCTAGGAAAGCCTCAGGCTGCTGGGAGGAAGCAGGTTGTCTCCACTTGGTCACCACTGGAGCCTGAGCCTAAGAGCCTGGGGCTCAGTCTTCTGGAAGCCCCAGGGGACACATCACAGGGCAGCTTCTCTTGCAAGAGAAAGTCATAGCCTAGCTGTCTGCTTCCAAACACCTTAACACACACACAGCCACAAGTACGCTTTATCAAATAGAATTTTATTATAAACTTCAAATATAGAAGTATAAAACGGCAAACATGAACCTTTATCCTGTCCATCTTACTGAAGTTCTCATAAAACCTATAAGACAGGTATAGAAGACTCTTTCTCCAGATTGCTTTAAAAAAAAAAATTCCTACTATCAAGCACAAATGTGCTTCATGAGGTCATGCAAAGGGGCGTCCAGCCCAGCCCCAGTCACTGAGGGGAGGCCCATTTTCTGTTGGATTCGGGACCCTGGGGTGTTCCCTGAGCTCCGAGACCAGAGACAGTGACATTGCCTCCATGACAGAGAACTTGAGTGGAATATGGAAACCATCTTGCCAAGGAGGAAACAGCGAGTCTGCCGAGTTGTGGTGTAACATGACTTCTCCTTTTTCGTCTTCATTTTGCTGATACACACATGCTCTCACATTCGGGGCCTTTCTAGACTTTGTTTTCAATGATTACAGAAAAGAGAGAAGAAATTAACAGTGCCCCCATCTTTTCCTCCTTTTGGGGGGTGATAGTCTCTCATGTCGTCCAGGCTGCCCTTAAACTTGGTGTGTAGCCAAGGAGAGCTTTCAACTCCTGAGTCTCCTGCCTCTACCTCACAAACGCTGGAATTAGAGGCAAGTGCCACTACCTGGAGCAAGGACACCCCATTTTGTCCAGGGAGATGGCCAGGCCCCCTTGATTTTAGAACGCTTCCACTCAGCCATTCTTGGGAGTTGTCCCAAAGCAAACACATGTATGTATGCAGATGCCTGTGTGTGAGAGAGAGCATGTGTGCATTTACATGTATCTACATGAATAAGACTATATGGGGCAACATGCCTCCAAGCCCTGGGGAAAGGATGTTTTTGTGTGTTTGCTACTTGTTAACAAAGAGGTGCAGAAAATTGTCAGAAAGTCTCTGTGCTGGTGCCAAGGAGGAAGGTTCCCTGATGGCATCATCCTGGTGGTCTTGCTAGGGCCACTATAAGTGACAGGCATATCAGAGGACAGGGTCCCATTTCAAGCAAGGCAAAACTGAGATATGTGCACAGGCATGGCTACATGGGAAGGAAAAGCAGTCCCAGTTACCAGTGATGACCAAACATGGGGCTGAGGCTAAGGGGGTCAAAGATGCAGACAGGATAATTTCAGAGAATCCAGACAAAGCTCAGCTCACCTCCCCATTGCTCTGGAAAAGGAGGAACAGGAACACAAAGCCGATGGGGAAGCAGTTGTACTGGCAAAGATAAGGTCCCATAATCAGCTCTCCTTCAGCCTCCCCAATGTTCCTGCCTGATCTCCATATCCTGTTTCTCAGGTGGAGAAACTGAGGCCAAAGGTGGCTCAGATGTAGCTCAGCTGGTCCTCTACTTAGAGTCAACCAACCCTGGTGATCAATGTGCTGGCTGACAATCCAGCAAGTAATAACGTCACTGGCAGTCACTCATTCCGTTCTGGACTTGAGGGACGGTGTCCAGATGGGGCTTGGCTGCTGTAGGAGCATCTGCAGAGGTAGAAATCTCCAGGGATGGGTGGACCACCAACTCCTCCTACAGTGCCAGAGGAGACAAGCAGAAGAATAAGGACAGACTGACAGACCTAGGGCTACCAGGGCCATTCATCTTCAGGGTAGGGACAAAGCCTTGGCAAGGCGGGTCCAGAACCAGGACTTGGTGCAAGGGTTGGTGTAGTCACAGATCGTGATGAACCGCAGGATGCTAGGGAAGTCCTTCTTCATTGCCTTATATTTGATGGGAATCAGTCGCTTCTGTTGGACACCTGGAGGCCAAAGGGTGAGGTGTTGGGACCAGGCCCCTGCCCTGTGGTGGGCAGACCCAGTCTCCAAAGCAAAGGATAACACCAGCACTCCACCAGCTAGGTAGCCATGGTACATATTCACTACACAAAGAAGTTCACAGGTACAGCCACTCAGAGATCTGGCATGCAGGACCATTCAGATCAGTCCTGCATGCTTGGTCTGGAATCTTAAAGGCTATTCCTCCCTTCCCTTCTCTGAACAAAGTAGGTCTAAGCTTACCTGGAGAGAGGCTGAGAGCAAACTTAGTCTGGAAGTCACATTCCTTGCTCTGTAGGTAATCGTCAGAAACAACCACCACCATCCGGCGACACCTGAGGGAGAGTGGAAGCGTGCAGGCCTTGTGACAACTCCCTTCAGCTTACCTTTAGAGGACAGCCTTAGGGAGGACCACAGTACCCAGGCTACCCAGTACAGAGCCCTGCTGGCAGACGAGCCATAGCATCCAGGCCTCTGGGTTTTACGCACTCACCCACCAGCTCCCCTTGGATGCCTAACCAACCTTTTCTCAATGAGTTCACTGGCAATGGACCAGACACAGGTGCCTGGCAGGACATCACGGTCGGACACACACAACTTCAGCCGATAGTCTGTCTGTTCTAGTTGTCTGATCATCTCCTGCACAAACTCAATGTCACTGGGACAGTAGCAGATGAAGGCATCGAAAATCTCTGGTGTTTGTCCTGAGGACAGGGGACAAGGGGAATATTGGTCATCTGTCTGCAGGAAGGCTGGAAGGAACCCAGCCTGGAGTCATCCATCAAGTGAACTTGAGCTTGCACCCATCTCAAAGTGATGTCTTACGTGTGCCCTTCCCACCAGTGAAAAGATAACTCCCTCCCAGATGAGATCCCAGTTAACTATGATGGGGACGTGAGTTCCGGTCTCAGAAGCACTCAGAGATGGGGCTGCCATCATCCCCGTTTCTTGGATAGGGAAACCAAGACTGAGTGACTTGCCCAAGGTCCCAGGTCCATCCATCCATCCATCCATCCGTGTTCCAATATCCATGTTCTACACACCACACATCCTGGGGCTGTGGGCCACCCATCCTATCCAGGAGAACACACTGGGCCCTTACCCAGAGGGTCGTCAAGAGTGGTGATGCCCTCCAGCTCCTTTGTTTGTGGGACACTGCTTTCCACTCTGGCCACCTGTAAGGGCTTCTCAGACTCCTGCTTCTGTTGATTCCTTATGTATTTCTTGCAGTCTTCCTCTGTGGAGAAGAGACCAGGTGTAGAGGGCTATACACACTCAGCACCTACACCCTGTCTTTGTTCTACTGGCCTGCTTGTGCTCTGAGTCTTCACTAGGAGCCACTGCTGCCATGGACAGCTCTGGCAAACCTGTACTCCCTTTCTGACTCTCCTAAAGTGGGCATCTAAGAGGCCACCAGAGTCCTGCTAGCATCTGCCTCTCACACTGCATCCTGCATCCCCTTTCTAAGGCTCTTGAGGATGGGTTCAAGTTGGGTATCTTGCAGGAGGCAGAGTAGAAGGAATGCCAGACGCCCTCAGGCACCCCGTTAGTGCTCAGTGAGGGTGGCGACCCCCACCTAGCAAGGCGTACCTAACTGTAGGCAGGGGCGCTGTGTTGAGTGCCAACGGGTGACAAAAGAGGCTTTAGTCCTTCACCTGTCCTGTTGCTCCTGACAGAACTGGGGTACTCCTAGAGAAGCAGACCTTGATTCCTGCCCCGACTCAAGGTCTTTGCCTAGGCTACTCAATCCACATCCTTTCCCTATCTCAGGATTTCGGAGCCCTCTCCCAATCCCTAGACTGTCCTGCATACTGGCAGAAAATTCGACCATCTCTCCCTCCCTCCCCGGCACAACTCAGAAAAATGAAACAAGATTGATACGCCAAGGCCATCTCCTCGACCACTGGCACAAAGCCAGAAAGCACGTGTCCTCACCGATGCTGGGCCCCAGCTCCAGCAATATATCCTCACGGCCCAGCGCGGCTAGCATCTCTATCAGCCTGCCGACCGTCGCGCCAGAGCGCCCCTGCCAGGCATCCAACAAACTGCCGGTGGGGTCAGGGCGCGTCTCTAGATGTCGGATCTCCAAGTACTCGAAGCCCATCTCCTCCGCCAGCACAGTCCAGTCGGCCGCCACCGGCGTCCGCGCGTTCAAGAACAGAGAGAGACGGCGCCGCACTCGCACGTTGAGCGCGGCCAAGGGTAGGGAAGACTCGGAGGAGTCCAGGGACACGGATCCCTCGCACGGGCCTCCCGCAGACATGGCGAGCCACCCTGAGCCTATGTGAGGTCCGGTCGGCTCGCCCGCCGAGCTTCCTTCCTACTTCCCCTAGGGTTCCTTTCAGCCCCGCCTTCTCTCCTTTTCCGAGAAGCTCCGCCCTTGGCTACAGTCTGGAGTCCCCTGCACTTGAGTGCACTTGGGGTGCTCCGGCCACACCCGTGTGTTTGTGTGTGCACCTGAACACAGGGCCGGGACTCCACCCCGCTCGTGTTTCCAGCCTTTGCTCGTCTCGCCTTGAAGCTGTGTAAACTAGAAAAAGCCTTCTGGCATCTGCTTGGCCCACCGACCAGTCCTGGGCGATCTGGTAGCGGTGCCAAAGCGTGGTGAGGTGTGTCAGCCTTGTGTAGGACGTGAAGGAGTTACAGCCCTTACGTGCAGCAACCTGCGCTCTGGTCACCGGGAGGGAAGAGGCAGACCAATCTGCCCTCAGCCATCTGGTGCAAGTGGCGACTGCCGTTGAAGGGAGAAGGCCACAACCCTACCCGCAAGTTGGCATTTAGGGCATCCTGTTCGTTGGTATCTGGGGCAAACCGAGTTCTACCCTCCGGGGGTCCGCAAGAGACACGCGGACCCACCACCGTTAGTTAATTTACTTAATCTATTTAGGTATCTCCACCCCTCCCCGCCTTTGGAGAATTCCTGCTGGAATGTGGACCCTACTAATAACATCCCAAAGAGACGTAAAACAGGCTTCAGACGCGCGGGACCCGCTACAGTTAGAACATTTGTAAAATCGCTTCTCCACACCAGCCGGGAAACAAATATTGCTTTGCTTTCTGAGGGGGCTTCTGCGACAGTCTAACCCTGTTGGGCTGAGCTGGGCGCCGCAACATCATCTTCGTCCTCGGTCCTGGGTTGGGACCCAGGAGCAGAGCGGAGCGTTTTCCCTGGCTCGCCCAGCCACCGGCGGGGCCCGCGGCGCGCCCCCCCCCCCCCCCCCCCCCCGCCCCCCCGGGGGGGCCCCCCAAAAGGGGGCGAGCCTTGAGCCGGGCTCCGCCTTCCCGCCCTTCTGCTGCTGCGCGCTGAGCTCAGGGCTTTGGAGGAGGGGCTTCCCTGAAGCAGAGTTCAACTTAGGAAACCAAAAATTTGGGGTGCCTCCTTCCCGTGTGTCCGCAAACAGTTGCGCAAACTTAAGGTTTCCAGTCTGCGTTTCTGGGCGAGACTTAAGGGTGCACATTCTGATTGGCCTCCGCAGGATTGGCGGGCGGGGGGGT